CTAAACTTTGTTAAAAGACTTTGCAAAGCATCTTTTAACAGACTTTCTAAAACTTTTCCCACAACTGATGTAAGACTAATGGGCCTATAATTATTGGGACAATTTTTATCCACTCTCTTGAAAAGAGGATTGACATTAGCTAACTTTCAATCCTTTAGTACCTGCCTATCATTCAAGGACTTATAAAATATAGTAGTAAGTGGCTCATGTATCCAATCCTTGGTGAAATATTAATTGGTCCAGGAACCTTATCATTCTTTAAACTTCCCAATTTTTTCATCAGGTTTAGTTAGTTATGAATTGGTTCCATAATTCCTGAGTATGGTTTGTTGCATTCTGAGCTTCTTCAGGTTGGGGCCAAGACTTGTACACTTGGATGTTGTTTGCCTTCGCTTCATAATTCTGGTGGCTAGCATGTGACATTTTGTAATTTGGAACCTTGTCGGTGTTGTTGGGGTCTGGAGAATCTTCTGATAATGAACAATGTTGACTCTGTAGCCAGTTGGACTATACCACCCACATTTAGATTTCACTTTATCTGGGTGAAGAGCATACCTGTTCCAGAAGTAGTGCAGACACCCACTAGTGTGCTTTATTATATCTCAATTTTGTACAACTGTTTTTCTTTCTGTGTGGATCTTGGTGTGTTTGGGAAGTTTACATTTCCCTATACCAAAAACATATTTCTCATAATACTTACCTCCTCTCACACTATCCCGCCCTTCCTCCCCACAATAGCTGGTGTTTATATTGGATTATCTTGCCAGTTTCAAAAAATTGAATAAGAAAGAATAACTAGGAGCTTATATTTGGATCGAGTAGAGAAGGTGCATTGACGTTCTTGTGACCCTCTCAACCTACATCAATCAGCCCTAATGATTTTAATCTTGTGACCCTCTCAACCTACATCAATCAGCCCTAGTGATTTTAATCTTGTGACTCTCTCCACCTACATCAATCAGCCCTAGTGATTTTAAAAGTTGAGAGGGTCACAAGATTAAAATCATTAGGGCTGATTGATGTAGGTTGAGAGGGTCACAAGATTAAAATCATTAGGGCTGATTGATGTAGGTTGAGAGGGTCACAAGATTAAAATCATTAGGGGTGATATAGTGGGGGCTGAAGCAGTGGAGGTAGAACAGATGAGCAAGGTGATATAGTGGGATATAAAGGCTGAAGCAGGGGAGGTAGAACAGATGAGCAAAGACAAGAACTTTTTGTCAGGATAAAGCTAATTGAACCTAATAACTTTTTAATTTTAACATTTTAGTTACTTACAGAACAATAAATATAAATTAGAAACTTAATACGTGTAACTCTGTCGTTCTTTTGCTGTGCTATAGTATGCAGTTTACATTAACCTCGGAACATCACATTAGGGAAGTTAGAAAGCAGAAAATGCACAATTTATAACAAATAACATGTGAAATCTTAGAATTTATTTCAATATTTTATTGTTGAAATTATGGAAATCAATCTTATATTAAGACTTTGGATCTTTACAACACAAACCTCAATCCATCAGTTTTTAGTGATTTTTTTTACCCTTCCGGGTCACAATACGAGAAGCTTTTAGCTTATATTGCATTGAAACATATCTGAAGTAGAATAGGATAGAAATGGTTCGATGCATATGACCGTCAGTAGAGACATTTGTGTAGTCCATAAAAATAAGCAAGTGCCACTTTAAGGGCTTCACCAGACCTTAATTACCAAGTGTATACCCAGTATATTAATTTCATTTTGTTAGGATTGATGCTATATATGATATATCAATTGTTGTCAACTTTTTGATAGAACAAGATGTTTTTCTCAAATTTGTGAAATGTGCTTTAAAAGTCTGGATAATTTAGAAATAATGTAAATATTAGAATTTAACATCAGTACAAAACTGTAAATATATAGTAAACAATGTTTTTAAGTAGAACTTTCCTGCTTGTACAGATTAGTCCCATGAGAGGAAGCATGTATGGTAAACTCAAGAGTATCAAATCTAACCCCAGTAAGA